GAAAAGAAAAGAAAAGAAAAGAAAAGAAAAGAAAAGAAAAGAAAAGAAAAGAAAAGAAAAGAAAAGAAAAGAAAAGAAAAGAAAAGAAAAGAAAAAAGAAAAGAAATCCCTTGAAATGGGATGGAGACCCTTCCCCACCGTTTTGTGACTTCCAGTTTTGGGATCTGTAACAGAATCTTTTATGCCAGAGGGTGAGCTGTAGATAAAAATGAGGAATAGTGCAAGAACTGCTGCAAATTATAAAGAATTACATGTTCTCACAACAAGCACAGATGAAATATTTTTGCCAGGGATTATTTCAACAATAAGGAAAAAAAAAAAGAAATATCATATTTTAATGAAAATACTTGAAAGGAGGAAGCATGAAATCTAGTCTAATCTGCAGTAATTTGTTAAAGATTTGGATTAATTTCAAGTGTATGAACCTGTATGTTCCCTTGATAAAGCTAGTCAATATAATTTCTCTTTTTTTCTTTCTCATTCACCTCTGAATGAGAATTGTGTGATTGTTTGCAGGCAAGGAGAGGTAGATTGTTTACTCACTGGCTCAGATGAGAATTTGGCTTCCTCTTGAAATTCAAGGAGAAAAATATAATGCTGCTCTTGGGAAAATATTATCATAAATCAAAACTTATTTTTCAAGTAGTGATTTTCAGGGCTCTTTTCACTGAAAATCTTGGGTTTCTCAAGAAGCAATGCTTATACAAGCAATGATGTTTTAAACAAAGGGTCTTTAACAGTGCTGTGTAAATTCTCCAGCTATTATTCATCCTATTAAAAATCATTTGGAATTTATAAAACCTCCGTCTCTCCCGGCTGGCACAGTTTCCTTATTACAAATTATTTCCCTGCCAAAAATGGTTTGTTTCTGTCTGATGATCTGAAGCAGTTCCTTTGTAAAATGAAAAGAATTTAATTATTTATTTATTAAGGCAACTCACAAGAGTGAGTTAAGGTAAGAAGAGGAAAAAGAAGCAGGCCACTGGTTTCATGTGAGACTTCAAAATATGAAGCACATWGTTTTAATAACCAGACCCTTGGAGTTTGATCAAGTTGATACTATTTACACATGAAGATCTGATTAAATCTTTTAATTTTRGAGAAAATTTATTGGTTGATTTCCCAAAAACAAACCAGGGAGCAGGAGTCCTTCCTGACAGCAATGTCATTTGGGGAATACAAACCTGGCTGCAGGTAAATATTCACAGCTCAAAGTTACAATCAGACTGCAGTCATGTTTAACCAGAAATGTCATATTAAATATAATAAATTAGATATAAAGGTGTGTGTTACCTCCCTGATTTTGTTTGTTTATGTGTGTGGCTTTGTGTCTGCGTAGTGCCAAGTGAAGTTTGATGGTGACACAGTGTGGGCTCTCTCCAAAGTTTGAATGCCTCCCAAACCGCAGCAAAATCCTGCATTTTCCAGCAGTCTGGCATCCCCCACAAAATTGTTATCAAAGATGACCTGCTGCTAATTAATGTGTCCTTCTGAACCACAGCCTCACAGCGAGAACCCCAGGAGCTCAGGTTTTTGGAGCTGAAACCATCCTGCAGACAGCACTGAGATTCAGCCAACATTAAAAACAAAGGTGAAGTGTGGGATTTATATTTCACATCACTGCCATCTCCTGTAACACAGGAATCAAAGAGCAGAAACTGTGAGTGGACAGATAATTCCAGAGCACCAAGAAGGTACTGTGGCCCAAACTGATCACTGACACAGTGATTATTTTAGAGAAATCTAAAATACATGGCATAACTGAACCAAAGCTAAGGTTCTAACTCTACACTGTTTTTCTGATTAAGCTCTGGCTTCCTTTTTTTCCCCATTGTTCTGTAATCCATTCTTACACTAGTCCTGTTAATTGTTTTTACATCTTTTGTATTTTCTGAGTCTGCACAGAGCGCCATAAACTCAGGGAACACCAACAGAATTTTTGAAAGAGACAGTAGGATATTTATATATCCTGGTGAYACCCAAAAGGGCCTCTAAGGTTCATGGGCTCATTCCACTGGGCGTTCAGCAAATAAAAATGAGACCAGTTATTTCCTTAAAGGTTTGCACTCTCAGACATCTGGGGGTTGGAATGAACTGATAAGCCAATTCCCATTTTCTTCAGTTTCAAAACAATTTGGCAGCTGCCTACTTCTCCTTCTATTTTTTAGAGATTAGAATCACCAAGAAATGAAGCGGATACTTAATTAAGGTATTTCCTTTTTTACGTCATTTTCTGCTCCCAACCTCTTTCTACATCTGTCTTCACTGCATAATAATCCTCATTCTCTGATGTTTTTTTCACCTTTCTGGCACACAAAAACTCCTTTCATCCAGGCTTTRTGGTGTGGTGTCTTTCTAATTCTTTTCTCAGTGCAGTAATGCCAATGAGAGTTCCACTGCAGTTCACAAAATTATCTGTTTTGATCCTGTGTTCAGCTATAAGTATTTTAATAACACACAGAAGGTCCCACAATRAGGGTGACAGATTTCTGCTGTCTGGGAAATACTTCTGTTTGAAAACCTGGAATTACAGCAAAAATTGTCAGATCAGGTAAAATGAAACAGCTCCTATTAGGATAAATCTGACTTCTGTGCTTGATTGTTATTGAAACAATTGAATCATTTAACCCAGCCTCAAAAGATTTCCTGCCATRCTGGCACATCATGGAAAGCTGACAGAGCTGTTATTTTCTCCACCTTGTTCTAAATACACTGCAAACCAAAAATACTCCACAAATGCCCTTCCTTCAGCATGCTCTCCACAAAACCAATCCACCTGGAGTGTTTAAATTGCTGTCAATAGGAAAAAACGAGGATGAGCTGAAAAACACCGAGGGACCACAACCAGAGGGAGCTTCTTCTCTCTTGTGGGTACACACAAGTGAGAAACTGTAGTAGCAGCCCGTAATAATTGTCACTTCTGATTACCATGGGAACCAAACAGAGTCTGCTGTGCAGAAAACAGATCAGCAGTGACTCACCAGCTCTCGGATTGTGGAGAATTGCTAGACTTGTGTGGGTGACRGGGAATAGTGATGCTGTTTCAGCCACAGTCCCATCTCTGCTAGACGTGTAGGATGGCAACAAGTAAATCTGCACTTTGTCTTCRTGTTCATTAGAGACGATTTCATCTTTATGGTTTGCTGCTGCTTCAGCCTTGTGTGGACCCTTTGCTATAAGAGGATTTCACTTTTAGGGAACAAAGTCCTGACTGAGCATACAGTGGCCTTTATCAGGTCTTCTGCAACCCTCTCAGTGATAAGATATTGTCCTTGGGCAGCAGAGGTTTAGAGGTGTCTCATCCTCTAAACTGCACCAGATGTGGATGGTACATAAATATGGGCAGTATTTCCATATTATTACCCAGACACTGAGGAATTGGGTCCTTAGAACAAAGCTTCAGGTCCAGCATTAAGAAGAAATTAAAATAATTGCTCTGTGTCATTAGCACAATTCAAAACAGAGGCTGTCTTTGAGGTGCAAGAGTTTGTATGTGACCAAGATTTGCAATCCAAGMTATTCTGAGTGTTTTTCAGCTGGTCACAAACTGTGATTTCAATCCTACACTRTCATACTCCAGAACTTCTCAAGATTCACAAATTCGAGGATAATATTTCTGGGCTGTCAAAGAATCTCAGAACAGAGMTTCTGAGATTATAAAGCCCAAATCCATGCTTGGCTGAGCTATTTTCACTGGCTCYTCAGCTCTGGCTGGAGAAACAGTAACCACTGCAATGAAAATGATATTTCGGCCCCAACACTTCAATGTTTATTCTTCACAAATGGTAATTCAAGATGTTTAGACAAAACCAATGTATATTCCTTAATAACAACTRTCATTCAGTGGCTCCTTGTGTTCTGTTCTCAGTTCTCACACTGAACCATCATTTGGGAGCCTAAAAATGCTCCGAGGACACCGTCACATGCACAGCTGGCAGCTGGCATAGAGGGATCCTTTTCCATTCCTCCTCCTAACAGAAATATCCATAGATTGTAAGTTTTGAAAGAGCAGATACACTCATTTCTCCACGAAATATCATGTGCTTTTATTAACGAAGGCTGCTCACCATAGAGGAATTTTCATGAGCAGAAAATCAGTTCCCTACGTGGAATTTGGCCAAGACAGAATGCAGCGTCCCGTCACACAGTTTCTGATTTGTGGATCCTTGGGAAAACAAAAGACAGGAGTCTGAAAATTGAAGACAAGAGCATGGCCCCAGCTCTTTAGTTTGATGGGTACAGGCCCACACAGCAGAAATAAATGTATGTCTGTTTTAGATGTCCCAGTCTACGATGCTGAACATCTGCCACTTGGTCAGCAAACTTTTGAGATTAAACGATGCAGAGGAACAAAAATATTAAGAAACCACCTCCCACACACATTCAGAGGATGAAACATTAAAAGACCAATTCTGCAAAATCCTCCAAGCTTCTCTTCAGCTCAGCACAGGAAAAACAAGCAATGATACAAACCCAGAAAGGAACCCTTTGCCACCACCAACCACGAGGAGCTGCTCATCAACAACCACCTCTTTCCTCCCTCATCGCACACATGGCAGGAGCAGAACAAGTGCTGTTCAACTGTGACCCTGTCCACCTTTTTGATGACTTTTCCCAGCATTTGAAGCAGTGGATAAACAGCTGGGTTGGTTTCTGGCATCTGCTGTTGGCTTTTTGAGCACTGATGTGTCCTGGGACGACGGGCGTGTTTKGTGCTTTGGGAAAGGCAGTCGTGATTGGGTCAGGCATGGTTCTAATTGCCTTGCACTGAATAAATTCGTGCCAGGCAAACCTTTCAGGCCATTTGTGGAAGATGTGAAGTGGGAACTGCACCCCCATGGCACGGCAAGCAGGCGGGGAGCAAACCTGTGTGTTTATCACTCTACGCTACTCGAGTTCTCACCAGCCTGACTTGCAGGAACAACTCTGCAGATAAAATCCACATTCACACATTCATTCATTCATTCATTCATTCATTCATTCATTCATTCATTCAGAGAGATATTTTAACACCACATCTTAATCTTCAAGCTTATTTCGTCTCGGTTTGAGGTCGGTGGTCAAGAGTGAGATGGATGTTTGTCTTCAAGAGATGCAAGCCTGAAATCGCTGATAACCCAAGGAGCAGATGTCTAGAGAACAGCAATAAATAATGTCACAAATGATTAAAAGAGGAAAAGCAAGGAATATTTTTAAATATCTCTTTTTGCAAGCCTCACATCAAACTGCCACTCTTTAAAAGTCAAAGCTGCACGTTACTGGAAATCCTGGTCAATGGTAGTTCATTGCTGATAACAGGTATCAGTGAAAAGGGCAGGAATTCCATGGCTCACACTGGTTTATTTCTTCATTTCCAAATTTTCTGGTTCAATTTTTTTAAAATATATTTTAAAAATGTTTATTAACATACAGTAATATACTAACATAGTGCAGATTGGGGGGTTTTGTTTATTTGTTTATTTAAAGTGTATGGCATATCAAGTCCYATTAAAAAGAGTTTGACTAAAGAATTATGCAAAAGGCTTTAATAATTTAAATACTCATCCAGCCATATGTAAATGTACAATCTGTCTTATGTTCTACGTGGAACTTACAATTGCTAGTAACTTAACGAATTTTAAAACCTCAGCAATTTGCTAAATAACAACATTCTGTTTCAATTTGCCATACTGGAGATGTTTACAGATGAGTCAGGGATAAAAAAAACTCCAACAGTGGTCAAAAATCCTCTGCAGGTCAGGAGGATGCACCCCTGGAGTTTACTCCCACTATCTCTGAAAATGCTATGACTTCATCCTTATGCAAGGACATGTTATTATTATTATTATTATTATTACATGGGATGGAACACAAAATAGTTAATTTCATTAATATTTTTCTATATGTAATGCTTTATAAAAGAAATATAGCTGAAGAATAATATAAACAGACACGTGAACAATATGATGAAGTACACTGTTCTTATTTAAATCAATTTCCTTGAGCAATATCTTTTTCCAAGGTGAAAATTAAACACTAATATTTGTCTCATGGTATAAAAGTGGCTGTAATAATTATAAAGAACCTTATGACCTTACACTTGTTTCATCCTATTCTTCAGTTTTCACAGCAAAAATATTAAAATTTGCAATATTCCCCAAAAGATGMAAACTTGTCAAATATATTACTCTGAAGTAAAATAACAATTAATTTAYAGGAACCTACCATAGAAACTATTGAGTGGACAGTAGTGATGGTTTTCTATATAAAATCTATCAAAAATTGTTGGAGAAAATATATGAAGCGTAGCTGACAGCTGATGGAATCTGCAATATGGCCACAGAGAAATAAATTGCAGATCATCAAAGTTTGCTCTTGTGCAGGAGCATCCACCGTGAGTTCACTGATTTCATCTTTCACTGGAGAGCAGCAGGAGGTTTCCATATTACCAATTTCCTATCCTAGGAAATTTCCTGAATCAGGAAAATRATTCAGCGCCGTACTTGAAGCTTTACCCGTAGTTGGAACTTGCAACAGTTGGGATTTTTTAAATTTTTTTTTGGTGCTCTGATCTCTCTCACTCTCTGGAAGGCTGTGGAAATATCAGAATCTTCGGCACAAAGACAGCTCTCTCTTAAGCACTGGCAACTGGTCTCAGTAGACTGTACAAAAAAAAAAAAAAAGAAAAGAAAGGAACCAATTTAGGTAGGCTGGTTAAGCAGTATTGGAAAAGAGTACAGGAACATTTTATGCATAAACCAGAGAATTAGGTGGTCAGTAGAAGCTGAGGGGTTTGTTGTCTGTGAGCTGCAGACACACATGCACATCAAATTGGGGAGCTCAGAGGATCCTTAGCAGATCTAAAACTGCTCATCTGCGTAAGACTCGAGTCAGCAGCCAAGCTCTGATCTTGCATGGATGGAGGCATGGATGGATCTTCTCTGAAAGTTAAATAGCTTTCAGCTATTTTAAAYAGCAAAAAAAGCCAAGTGATTGATTCTACCCAGCCTCAGGCATTCAGCTAAAGCACCTAGAGCAGGGCCTAAGCAGCCAAGACTCTGTTCAGGTGTCAAATCACAAACCACAGGGGGAAAGCTGCAGCCTCAGGAGGTGCTCGAGCTTTGCCCTRCTCAAGGGCGATGGATTTTCCAGCTTAGACATCACCCAAATTACTGAAATGAGCTGAAATTGCAGACCAGATGAAGGTGTCCCTGTTTAACACTGCACCTAGAACAGTCCGTGGGGCTTTAACCACTCAGAAAATAAAGACACTYATTATTATATGAGTTCTGCTCTACGAGGCCTCCATCCAGCACTGGGACCAGGCAAAATTGTTTRTGGCCCTTCACCTAAATTAGGAAAGGGTTCTGCTTCCTATGGAGATTGCTGGCAGCTTTAGAATTTTCAGTTCCCCACTGGCTAGACATYAAAACATTTCCCTATCAAAATTTGTCAATGTTTATTCAGTTCAAGTACTGACGGGAAACTTAATTTGTTTTATTTTTTCTGCAGACATGAACTTATTAAGGACTCTTTTTTTTTTTTTTTTCAGCTAGTTACTTAGCCAAAACTCTTTAGTCAGGAATAGAGCCTATAAATCTTCAAAGTCCTATTTTAGCTGGTGGAAAATGGAGCCCCCACAGACACTCCCATGGCAAAGGGAGAGCTCCAATATATTACACACCATGACCCTCCCAAAACTGGAGATGCTTCCCAATTGCAAAATCCTCATTCCTGGAAAGATCTTTGTCCCTGCAGGTGCTGATCTAAGCACTGCTGGTGTCCTTCACCTCTCACAGGAGGTCTCAGCACCACTGACAGCACTGGATTTTTATTTGCTGCCACATGAATTAATTCAGAGTTTCTTTGGTTTTCAATTCTCACCAAGAGGATGGCTTTACCACTGTCTGATTTATATCTGCACCCCCTAAGAACTGGTCCCTGGTCCAGCCTTTAGAAGTTATGATGGAGCTGGAAATGTATTTGGTGGGATTTGGTGGAACTTAGAGAATTCCAGAGAGCATYGCTRCCTTTTTCTGTCCAACAAACACAWGCCAAACACACAAGGTTGATCAAARCATACTGTACCTCCAGCTGTTTGCATCTTGATGTCTTTATTTCCTTCTAATCTTAATTAGAAAACAAAAGACAAAGATGGTTAAAATACGAAAAAAGCAACTATGTTAGTACTCTTCCAAAATCAGCTACTTTTATTTTGCCTAATAGTGTTAGTGGTTTTTATTTTCTTGTTTTGTAGCAAATTTTGGAAGCACCAGTCAGTGACTAAGCCCTGTGCTGTACATATGTGACAGCAGCATATTTTTGTGTTAAATCAAAAGAATATTACATTATTTCATAATTACATGTTTAYGACTTATCTATTAAATAGCTATAAAACTAATGTTTTTTTGGGTTTTTTTTCCCCCACTGCTCAAAAACATAACATAGAAAAGAAACAGCTTCTGCTGGTTTTCACGTTTGAACAGAAATAAACCTGAAAGCAAGCGYTTACTGACTGTTATTACTGGAATCCACCACAATGCAAGTAAATACCTTCAAAACTAAAAATAGAGCCGGGGCTCTGCAAGTGCATCTCTCACAGCCTCTCAGCCCTAACAGGGTTTTGTTTCCTTCAATTCACAGAGCACTCTGAGTGTGAAGAAGCTCTTCAGAGGATCACGCTCCTACACTGTCAGTGTCTGCTCTGGGATCCTCCTGCACCAGCGTGGTGAATTTTAAATAAACGGGAACAATCCCGAGTATAAACAGCCCTGCTCCTGGGAAATAATGACTGATTTTTAAAGGACACACATCCTGCTGGAGGGGGAATGAACCCCAGAGAACAGGAGAAAGGCCACCCCCAGGTTGGCAGTACCTTTGGGTGCAGTTTTGGTCTGGCTGGGAGCCATGGCAGCGGCGTCCGACGGCAGACCCACGTACACCCCGCCGTAATTCCTGGGGAAAAAAATGGTCAAAGCCACCTCAGAGCTGAGCTGGCACAATTCTCACTGTGCCACTGTGATTCTGGTCCTGGAATGATGAGCTAGACACAGTCAGGGTGATAAAAATATGTTTATATTATGCGTTTATTATATATATATATATAATATATATATTATATTATATATATATTATTATATTATAAGGATCCTTAGGTGCAGAATTCATCAGGGGGAAAACACCGAGGATGCAACCCCCACGTGGTGTGTGTACAATTGGTAAAGATTCTGCAAATTAGCATGTCTAATACGACAAAAATCCCCAACAAGAAGCAGCAGTGTCCGACGGCAGACCCACGTACACCCCGCCGTAATTCCTGGGGAAAAAAATGGTTAAAGCCACCTCAGAGCTGAGCTGGCACGATTCTCCCTGTGCCACTGTGATTCTGGTCCT